CAGAACCCAGTACACCACCAGTCTGTGAAAACTGAGGCAGAATGGGGAGGGTCTGCCTGGGCATCTCAGCTGTGCGCCATCCCCCCCGCCCCCCTCAACATCTCATCTGAACCCTGAGTGCCTGCAGAGGAGCCTGGCCACCGTGGACGGGGCACCCGGGACCAGCAGGGTGCAACCTGGCGGGCTGGTGCATTGTTGTCAGCGTCTGTGGCTAGATTCCGCCCTGTACAGTAATTGTCCCTGCACTGCCAGTAATCGCCCTGACTTACCAGGCAGGCATCATTTCCTGAAAGTCAGCGGGCCTTAGGGGAAGTAGGCGCTGGTGGTGACTAAACCCACATGCAAATGCAGCTGGGCTGAGGGCTGAGAGCGGAGCCGTCCGCCGGCCCAGCCCAGCACCAAGGTCATGAGGGAGTGCTCCTTCCAGGGGACCCACCGGTGGCCAAGCCATGTCCCAGCTGCAGTTCTGGCTGCAGTTGGCAGCACTCAACAAGGTAACCCTCCCGCTTTGCCTCGGGGTTCAATCGTCCCCCTCCCACCTGGCAGGCAGGTCAGGCCACTGAGAGGACTGACTGGACCCACCAGGCCCGGGGTGTCCCCTTCCTCCTGGTCCTCCTGGCTCACGCTGGCTTTTTTTTGGCAGGGACAGTGAATCTGCAGGAGTTTTCTGAGAACCTGGGGCCGGGGTGAGGGGAGGGGCCGGGGAGGCGCTGCAAAATGAAAGTGCTTGCGGCCAGCGGGGGAGGTGGGAGGGGCTGTGTCTGTGTGCCTGCTCTGATCTGGGTGTCCCTGGCGCTGGACCTGGAGAGTTTCCTGGGCTCTGGGATGTCCTGGGGCAGTCATCAGAGCCTCTGCCAGGATTGGGTGTGACTGGACAGGTGGGAATGCGTCTAACTCCTCCTCTCCCCGAGACCCAGGCAAGTGGTTAGCCCCTGGTGGGGTGGGGGCAGGGGGAGGCAGTGAAAGAACCCATTTGAAGATAATTTCTGGGGTCTGAGCAGTCGTAGCCCTCCTGGAGGACGTCCATCCTGTCCCATCCAGCTGGACTGAGAGGAGGGTAACTGTCTGGGCAGCTCTTCATCTGATCCAGGGGATCCCCAAAATGCTGCAGATATGGTTACCACAGCAAATGATCCCATACTCTCTTGGGTAACCAGCCGTTCCCTCCGCATTCAGGGGCTGCAGCAGGAAGAGCAGTCTGGGGTCTGGGAAGCAGGTGTTCCAGGTGGGGACCCAGGGAGGGCGGCTCTGGGTGTGAGTGGTCTTGGGGTTCTGCTGGTGGCTGCTGGGAATCAGGTTCCCGCACAAGCTGGTGGGCAGGCAGCCAACCAGGGAGAGGTCCTTTCTCACCCCCATTCAGCTGCCCACCCTGCACAGGGAGTGGAGCTGGGGGGACCCTGGAGGCCTTACCTCCCCCTGACCTGTGGTGATCCACATGAGGCCCCTCTTCACTTGCCCGAGAATCCACAAACCCCCACATTGCTAGCTGTTCATCTGGGCATCTGGAGGTAGTGACCACAGAGTGGGGCAAAAGTACCCACTTAACATGATATTTTAAAAACAATTTTAGATTTACAGCATTATGACGGATGGTATATATTCCAGTGTGCCCTGCCCAGTCCCCCTGCCTACACCTGATGTCACTGCAGTACCTTTGTCACAGCTAATGAGCCAGGACTGAGTCATCATTAATAACCAAAGTCTGTATTTACTAGATTTTCTTAGTTTCCCCTGATGGCCTCTCCCTGCCCCAGGACCCCATCAGGATCCCCTGTGATACTCAATCATCACTTCCCCTCAGCCCCTGCCCCCCACCCCCACCTAACTGAGTCGGTTTCTCCTCTTTCCTATGTGGGTGCCCTGGGCTGTGTGTCCTACAGGATGTCCCCCGTCAGGGTTTTCTGGCATCTTTCTCATGTTTGCACTGAGGGACATCCCTACTCATTTGTCACATCAGGGTTCCCGTGTCCCCATGGCTCCTCATGGCTAACATTGATCCTCATCTCCTGGCGGGGGCGCTAATCAGCCTTCTCCACTGGGAAGACCTCTCCCCTTCCACTGTCCTCAGGAGGGGTATCTCTGCACACCCACCTTTTGCCGGACCAGTCTTCTTTCTCTGACCCCCAGCCTTGCCCACCGCTCAGGGGCCATTTGCCTCCAGAAGGCAGGGCCACCTCTCAGGGTCTCAGGAGCCAGCATCACTCCGACCAGACTCAGGCAGTACCCATCACGGACCTGCTCAGATGTGGCCCCAGAGGGATTTCAGCCAAGATATCTGACCACCTCCACCTGCACCCAGACCCCATCCTGCCCAGCCTGCTGGGGTCTCTGGCCCTGTCACTTATAGGGACCAGGGAGTCACTTACAGCCTGGCTTTCCTTGGCATCGTCCACCTCTGACTGCCTCTGACCTGGGAGGGCAGAGCCGAAGGGAGCTCCAGCCTGGGGGTGGCAGGGCCAGGCTCCCCCATAGTTGTCTCAGTTTCCCCTGAGACAGCTGCGCTGCTCTGTAGTTGCTGGGCTCTTGGCATGTGTGTGCTAGGCACCCCAGGAGTCTCAAAGTGCGCCCCCTTCGGTTCCTGCCTCTGTCCTGGAACATGGAGCTTTAATAACCTATCTACACCACCATCTGTGTCTGGTGTCTGAGCAGGTCCTGCCTTCTATGGGGCAGCCGAAGGCCCCGCCTCTTCCCCTGACTGTCCAGGTCATAGTCCTGCCAGCTGGAGGGGGGGGGCCTGGGTCTGCACTGCCTCCTGCTCCCACCCCCACGTGGATCCAGGCTGCTTGCAGCTGGGGGGCAGGCAGGGGTGAGGAAAGGCCTGGTTGGTGGTCTGAGCTCTCCTTGCACACACGGGAGTGTGTGGCTGGCCCCTGTGGCTCCCTGTGTGCACAGCTGGCCAGGGCTCTGGAGGGTAGCAGGAGGCTCATTCCAGGCCCCCTGACTCCTCGTTGGCACCAGGACTGGTCGTGTCCAGCAGATGGGCAAGACTGAGGCTCTTGCATCCAGCCATCTCAGGGGAGGCCGCTGGGTGGAACCCAGTTCCATCTCCTCCCACCCATTCCCTTGGAGCTGCCTCTTTCTGGGGCTGTATATGCACCAGTATCAGAGTCAGAACTTCTGGGAAGCTGATGAGGTTGCCTGCATATCCTCCCAACCCCCGATCCCTCCCACCCCCCCGGAATAGGAATCTGATTCAGATTGCTGGGAGGGGAGCCAGGGAAGGGCCTCAGAGGGGCATGGGTTAGGCCTGGGCCTGGCTGAGACCCAGGCCAGTTAATGGTGGCATTACAGGTGCATCAGGGGAGGTTCCGAGGTCCCCTTCCTCCCTGGAGTCCATCACACTGAGCCAGAGGCCCCCTCTCATCAGCCATTCTTCTTGTCTTCACCCACTGGTTGGCAGGACACTCGTGTATCCCAGCACACCTGGCCTGGCTCTTCAGTGCCTCCGGGGTGTGAGTGGTGCACAGGGCGTGGGGCTCCAGGAGGGCAGCCCTGCCTGCTTGGGAATGCTTAGGGCCTGGAGTCAGTGTGACTGGCCCTCTGTGGCTTCGGCTGAGCAGGCTGGGGGAGGTGCTCATCTGGGAGGTTCTTGTGGGGCTTTCTCTTGGTAGTGTTGGCTGAGGACTGCTCGCCTGCAGCCCCCCCAGCTCCCGGACTTCCAGGTCCATCTGCAAAACGGACACTCACTGCAGGGAACTCTGACTGGGAGCTTGCTCCCGCCTGTCCAGGAGACCAGGGGCTGGTCTCCACGTGTCCCGATGTCCAGTGCAAGCCAGGCACTCGGTGCCTCTGACTGAGGGAGGGGTGGTGGTGGCACGAATACCTGATGTTTCTGATTTTAAAAATATATATATTTTATTGATTTTTTTACAGAGAGGAGGAGAGAGGGATAGAGAGCTAGAAACATCAATGAGAGAGAAACATCGACCAGCTGCCTCTTGCACACCCCCTACTGGGGATGTGCCCGCAAACAATGTACATGCCCTTGACCGGAATCGAACCTGGGACCTTTCAGTCCACAGACCAACGCTCTACCACTGAGCCAAACTGGTTTTGGCTCTGATTTTCTTTAAATTTAGATTTATGAACTGTGTGTAAACTCCATGCAGCAGGCTTCTCCCAAAGATGTGGGGCCCCTGCCGAAACCGGTTTGGCTCAGTGGATAGAGCATCGGCTTGGGGACTGAAAGGTCCCGGGTTCGATTCTGGTCAAGGGCATGTACATTGGTTGTGGGCATATCCCCAGTAGGGAGTGTGCAAGAGGCAGCTGATCGATGACTCTCTCTGATCGATGTTTCTAACTCTCTGTCTCTCTCCCTTCCTCTCTGTATAAAATCAATAAAATATATTTAAATAAAAAAAATAGTGTCACCCACACAAGTATGGGCCAGGGACACATCCCCGGTAGGGGGCGTGCAAGAGGCAGATGGTCGATGATTCTCTCTCATCGATGTTTCTAACTCCCTATCCCTCTCTCTTCCTCTCTGTAAAAAAATCAATAAAACATATATTTAAGCCGAAGCCGGTTTGGCTCAGTGGTAGAGCATTGGTCTGTGGACTGAAAAGTCCCAGGTTCGATTCTGGTCAAGGGCATGTACATTGGTTGCGGGCACATCCCCAGTAGGGGGTGTGCAAGGGGCAGCTGGTCGATGTTTCTCTCTCATCAACGTTTCTAACTCTCTGTCTCTCTCCCTTCCTCCTCTCTGTGAAATATCAAAATATATTTAAGAAGAAAAAAAAGAAAAAAAAAAGAGAAAAAAAGAATGGGCCAGGGAAGGCATGAAGCAGGTGTCACCTTCTAGTGTCACCCAGTGGGGTCAGTGCACAGCTCATGGGGTCTGGCTTCTCTCATAAGTGTCTTGTTTTCAGCAGTCATCCATGCTGTAGCCAGTGTCAGAGCCTTGTTCCTCTCATGGCTGAACAGCATCTGCACCTTGGCTAACCCTCCTGCACCTGTCATGGTGCCGCCCTGGCTGTGCCCTCACCCAGCCTGTCTTCCAGGAATCCTCGTACCTCGATGAACTCTCCAACGCCTCCATCTTCTCCTCATCTGTGGACTCCCTCTCGGACATCGCGGATACCCCTGACTTCCTGCCCGCCGACAGCCTCAGCCAGGTGCCCACCATCTGGGACGTGAGCACCGGCTCCTCCGCCCAAGACAAGGTCAGTTCACCCTGAGGCCTCCATGCCAGCAGGTGGGTCAGGGCTGTTCAGACACTGACAAGCCTGCTGGTCCAGGGTCCTCACGTTTCCTGTACAGCCCAGACAATGCAAGGGTTTGCGGAGGAAGCTACTATGTTGGGGGCCTTGCCCCTCCTGTGTAAGTGCTGTCATAGCCAGGCACCACCCCTCCTGTGCCTCCAGTGCCCAGTCTCTATGCTCTGCTCTGTGTTGGGCCTGCTGGGGAGATAGGGGTCCCCAGGATATGAGCAAAATGTCATTTCTCCTGGTTCTTACCCAGGATGGTCCTGACCCCAGGGAATACTGGGCCATGTCTGCGGACATCTGTTGTTGTCACAACTGGGGGTGCTCCTGGCACCGAGAGGGTGGGGGCCAGGGATGCTGCTCTCTCCTCCACAGTACTTGGGGCAGCCCCCTACAGAAAATGACTCAGCCCCAACCTCAGCTGTGCTGAGGGGGAAAGATCCTGGGCTTGCTAAACATCAAGTCACGTGACGGGATGGAAAGGTGGCGGGAATCCCTCTGGAGAGGCCATTTAGGGCTGAGGGCTGGAGCAATCATTGGCCAGGAGAGGTGGCAGGAGCAGCTCGTGCAAGGACCCTGTGATGCCCAGCCAGTGTTGCTCAGTGGTTGAGTGTCGACCTATGAACCAGGAGGTCATGGTTTAATTCCCGGGCAGGGCACATGCCCAGTTTTCTGGCTAGGTCCCCATTAGGGGGTGTGCAGGAGGCAGCCAGTCAATCAGTGATTCTCATCATTGATGTTTCTACCTCTCTCCCCCTCTCCCCTTCTCAGTGAAATATATATCTATATCTATAGATAGATAGATACCGTGTTTCCCCGAAAATAAGGCATCCTCCAAAAATAAGACCTAGCACATGGAAAGATAAGACATCCCCTGAAAATAAGCGCAATTTTGTGAGAAAAAATTAATATAAGACACTGTCTTATTTTCGGAGAAACAGGGTAGATATCTATCTATCTATCTATCTATCTATATATATATATTTATATACACACATACACACTAAAGGCCCAGTGTACAAAATTCGTGCAAGGATAGGCCTTTGCAGCCCTGGCTGCCTCATGGCCCCACGGCTCCATCCCCTGCCTGCACCCGCCTTGGCCTGGTGCTACCCGTATGCGGCACCACACGTCCCTAGTTCCCTGGTTCTGCAGAGCCCCCCCACTCTGCCCCAATTGATCACCCCCTGGCCAGTGGCATGGGCCTCCCTCTTTGGGTCAATCGTGGAGCCCCCCAGTTGATTGCCCTGCTGGCCTGGTGCCAATGTGTGTCATAGCATGATAGTCTGGACAGTCATTCTGCTGTTCGGCTGTTCAGTCGATTTGCATATTATACTTATATTGTTATAGATTTATATTTATATTTATATTTTTTTTAGTATATTTTATTGATTTTTTACAGAGGAAGAGTGAGGGAGAGTTAAAAACATCAATGAGAGAGAATCATTGATCAGCTGCCTCTTGCACACCCCCTACTGGGGATGTGCCTGCAACCAAGATACATGCCCTTGGCCGGAATCGAATCCGGGACTTTCAGTCCATAGGCCGACGCTCTATCCACTGAGCCAAACCGGTTTCGGCTAGATTTATATATATATATTTTTAAACATATTTTATTGATTTTTTACAGAGAGGAAGAGAGAGGGATAGAGAGTTAGAAACATCGATGAGAGAGAATCATCGATCAGCTGCCCCCACTGGGGATGTGCCCACAACCAGGTACATGCTCTTGCCCGGAATCGAACCCGGGACCCTTCAGTCCGCAGGCCAACGCTCTATCCACTGAGCCAAACCGGTCCTGGCTAGATTTATATTTTTTAAAAACAGACCCTGTGATAGGAACTAGCTTGATGGACCCCAAGGTCAGTAGTGGGCCCTGTGCCTGGCCAGGTGGGAACCGGGAGATGAGGCCAACCCAGAGCTTTCACAGGTGAGCAAGGTCCCCAAGTATGCCAGGCCCAGGCTCCACCATATGCCCAGGACCAGGCAGTAGGGGCACCAAGCATGGAGCCTGCGGGGGGACAGGGAGTGCCCAGGGCAGCCCAAGGAGGTCCCTGTCTTTGGCAGCTTTGGTAGACAATCCAGGTCCATCTCAGTGTCTGGGTGAAAGGGCCCAGCAGGACAGGGGCATTACTCATGCCTTCCAGGGCCCCTGGGTGGCTTCCAGCTCCCGGGAAGAGGGTGTGAGGGCAGCCGAAACCCAACACGCACAGCATGCAGCGAGCCAGCCCACCCTCCCGGAACCCTGACTCAGCCTTCTGGGAACCTGGCTGAGGCTATTTGTTTTTGTTAGTTTAAAAAAAAAATGGAGAGGGACTTGAGTATAGGTTTCTGACTTCCCTGAAGGCACTTTCACTGATCTTTAGACAAATGAAGGGAAAGGGAGTGGGAGGAAGAGAGAGAGATAAACATTAATGCGAGGGAGAAACATGGGCCGGCTGTCTCCTAAATGTCCCCCAACCAGGGCCAGGAATCAAACCTGCAACCAAAGCCTTTCAGTGCACAGGACCACACTCCCACCAATTGAGCCAGGGCATTTTAGTTTCTTAAAATGAAAACTTTGGCCCTAGCTGGTTTGGCTCAGTGGATAGAGCATTGGCCTGAGAACAGAAGGGTCCCGGGTTCGTTTCTGCTCAAGGGCACATGCCTGGGTTGTGGGCTCAATTCTCAGTAGGGTGCTTGCAGGAGGCAGCCAATCAATGATTCTCTCTCATTGATGTTTCTATGTTATTTGGTGTGTGTGTGTGTGTTTGTGATATATATATGAGAAAACATTGGCCATGGTCTTAGCTTTGAAAAAAACTGGAGTCATAAATTCATTTATCACATTACTGAATCCCCTGGTGATCCTTGTCACTCGTGGTCCAGGACATCCAGCACTCACAGTCATTGGTCTTGAGATAGTGGGGGTCTGTGTGGGGCTGAGGAGAATGGCCACAAATTACTTCCATGAAGCTTGTTTTGTAGCCACATAGTAGGTCTTGGCCACCAGAACTAGCTGGCAGGCAGCAGGAAGGAGGCAGACAGCAGGTCCTAGGCAGAGGCCATGAGGAGGGCATGGGAAACCTGAGTCTAGGCCAGGGGTCCTATCGAGGTGCTTCCTTGGCACATCCAGCCTACAATTTCATGGTCACTCTCCTCTTCATCCCGCCTCCAGTTTCTGCCCACTGGGCCATTTACCGGCCTTGAGGACCCTGTGTCCTCCCTCTCCAGCACCCCACTTCTCGTCAGCTACCAGGTGAGCTGGGCCCTTCCCCAACCCTGCCCACCCCTCCTGGGACTAGGGAGGGCCATTCACACTCAGGCACCTTCTATGTGTCAGACCCTGGGCTGGCTTAGAAGCACGGTCTGCCCATTTTACAGGTGGGAGGTCCTGGGAGGTGCCGTGTTGGGGCAGGGGACAGGTGGGCTCGCTCCCCACCACCCCTGTCCCTGGTCTGGCTGATGGACCAGGCCCCAGCCCCTTGGGGAGACTGGCCGTGCTGGGCGACAGGACTGTCCCCACTATGACGACACCGGCCTTCAGTCTCAGAGTCAGCCAGAAGAGGAGGAGGAGCCGGAGGAGGAGGATGCAGAGGAGCTGGGCCACACGGAGATCTATGCAGACTATGTGCCATCTAAGTGTGAGTGCACAGCCTCCCCTAGCCCCTGAGATGTGGGAGGAGACCCCTGGCGGACACCCCAGCAGGCACCACAGGGGTCCTGCAGGGAGGTGCCCGGTTCCAGGGTCCCTCAAGCAGCGAAGGTGGGCCTGTTAAGGAGGGGTGGCTCTATAATTGTAATCTGAACCTTGCCCAAACCTGAGGTGGCTCAGAGGTTGCAATGGAACATAAGCCCATCTCCTCCCAGCCCAGCATCCTCCCTGCCCAGCCAGGGTGTTATGGGTCTGCCCCCTCTCCTCAGTGCAAAACTCTGATGGGTCCCTTCCCCTAACCCTGCTCTGCTGGCCCCCATCCTGGTCCCTCCCACATACTGGTCCAGCCCAGTAAGACCCTGACCACACCCCTCCAGCCAAGGTCGGGAAGCAGCATCCAGACCGTGTTGTGGAGACCAGCACCCTATCCAGCGTCCCACCACCGGACATCACCTACACCCTTGCCTTGCCTTCCTCGGACAGCGGGGTCCTGTCTGCCTTGCAGCTGGAGGCCATCACCTACGCCTGCCAGGTGACCCGGAGTCTCCCACCAACCCCATCCCTAGTTGGAGGGTCTCAATGCCCCAGCTGACTCTGTACCCCATGGGGGTTTTTTGGTGCCCACCCAACCCATCCCATATGGCAGGGTGTCTCGGGGCCCACCTGACCCCATCCTGCATGGGGGTCCTGATCATTGCACCACACACCCACAGCAACACGAGGTCCTGCTCCCCAGTGGGCAGCGTGCGGGCTTCCTCATTGGCGACGGTGCTGGCGTGGGCAAAGGGCGCACTGTGGCCGGCATCATCCTCGAGAACTACCTGCGGGGCCGCAAGAAGTCCCTGTGGTGAGTGTCCCCCTGCACATGGGGTGGGAGGGGCCGGGGGACGTGGGGGATAGCTGACACCCACCAGCCTGCACCCTCCAGGTTCAGCGTCTCCAACGACCTCAAGTACGATGCCGAACGTGACCTGCGTGACATCAATGCCCCTGACATTGCGGTGCACGCGCTGAGCAAGGTGGGTGGGCGGCCCTCTCCCCCGTCTCCTGGTGAGGGGTGGATCCTGGTGACCCTGCAGACGTGCCTATACCCACTCCTCTCCCCAGATCAAGTATGGTGACAACACTACCTCAGAGGGTGTCCTGTTCGCTACCTACTCCGCCCTGATTGGCGAGAGCCAGGCTGGAGGGCAACATCGCACTCGAATCAGGCAGATCCTGGAATGGTGTGGGGCAGCCTTCGATGGCGTGGTATCCTAGCTCACTGAGGGGTGGGAGGAAGGAGGGGCGGAGTGGGCACCGGAGGGTGGGAGGAGGGGGGAACTGGAGTGGTCAAAGGAGTGGGGGGGGAATGGGTACAGAGGGTGGGACTGGAATGCCTGTGAGAGGACCCTGTGCTTAGGAGGCTCGCCCCAGGGGAGGCTCCCGCTGTGACCACTGCTGTCTGCCCCTCACAGTCTGGCGAGGCCTCCTGGTTCCAGCCCGCAGGACTGTCACCGCAGGCTCTGGGTGGCGGTCGGTAGTGGAAAGGTGCCACCTGGGCAGAGGTGTGGAGTGCGGGCCTCTTCCTCCTCCTGTCCCCACCCCAAGATTTGGGGGTCTCTAACTTTCCCTCCTTCGCTCTCAAAACTTGGATACTCGGTTAACTTTGTCTTCCACTCCTACCCAACTAGAAGAGCAAAGAATCAGAGAGTGGCCACAAGAGCACAATCAGCTTAACATGTCTTTGTTAACTTCTGCAAACACCAATCCCCCAGGCTCACCCCGTAAGTGGGGCACCAGGTGGGAGGCCCTCAGCTTCTGGAGAATTGTGCAAACCCCCTCCCCCGACTACCCTGTACACAGGATCTGGCCCTGGCATGGAGGCCGCTTCCTATGTCCCCTCTGTGCAGCCCTGGGCTGGCTCGATGCTATGGGCAGCCTGTGGGTGCTCATCCTCCTGTGTGCCACCTCCCCCGGTTGTCCTCCGTATGCCATCTCCTGTCGCTGACCTCCCCACCTGAGCCGGTTTGCTTGTCACTGTGCAGCATGCTGCTCTGTCTGTCCTTGCTCAGCCATTTCGCTATCACAGGGGCGTTTTGGGGGTTTCCAGCTTCTGTGTTATATACAGCCCTGTGTGAGCCCCATCCCCCTTCTCATTGTGCCTTGGGTCATTCCAGAGTGGGGTGACCAGCTCTGGTGCTCCTGGTCCCAGTCAGATATGAGAAGAGGGATGTGGGCCCTGTGTGTCCTTTCTGGTCACGTGGGCAAGTGTATGGCTTTACTGGTTAAGTAATGCACAACAGCTGGGTGCCCAAAGAAGCAACAAGGTTATTGGTGCATCCTGGGCACCCGATGACACCTTGCACAGCTGAGGAGAAGGATGGCGTAAAAAGATGTTCAACCCCAGGGGCTGCATGCTCTGCCCCAGACTCACCTTTCCATTTGGATTTCACAAATCCTCTGTCCACCCTTTACATGCACATCATTGTACATGTGCACGCATGTAGACCTTGTTTTTAAAATAGGCTCAGTATAGGCATACGTGTCTGTAACTTTGGTTCTTATATTATAAGTGAAAGTGTAGAAAGTTACAGAGGTAATAGAAGTGAGCCAGCTGGAATGCATAGGCTCAAGGAAGAGGTGACAGAAGCAAAAGAAGGGCCCTTAGCACTCAGGAGAGGGAGAGGCGAAGGTGATGTGCCCGGGGGGAGAAGAGGGCGGCGGGAAGGGAGGTGAGGGCATGCTCCTGAGAGGGAGAGGGCCTGCCTGTAACTCTTCCCCCTTAAACTATTGAGAACCTGCTACATCGTATGACAGTCTGTTTCTTCAGTATATTTTTTGTATATTTTATTGATTTTTTTGCAGAGAGGAAGGGAGAGGGATAGAGAGCCAGAAACATCAATGAGAGAGAATCATCGACCGGCTGCCTCTTGCACACCCCCCACTGGGGACGTGCCCACAACCAAGGCACATGCCCCCGACCGGAATCGAACCCAGGACCCTTCAGTCTGCAGACCGACGTTCTACCCCTGAGCCAAACCGGTTTCGGCAGTTTCTTCAGTATATTTTTTAAATGTGATCAGTGTAGATTTGTGAGGAGTCACAGAGAGAGACCCCAGCTCCCGGTGGGAAGTCACGGCCCACCTCTCTCTTCCAGAAGCTCCTGTCCCCACATCGGTGCCCATATGTGTCAGTGTCGCCTGTAAGCTCTTCAAAAGGCTGTCACACTCATTCCCACCCGCAGCTGTGTGGGGCCCACAGGCTGTTTCTCACTCATTCTGACGGCTTCACACCCCCCAAGGCCCCACCTGTGGTCAGACACACACATACCCTGGGCACCTCGCTGAGCTCCCTGAACCAGGAAGGGGCAGGCTGGGGCGGTCACCTTCCAGAACAGCCCTTAACTCACACCTACCAACGATCGTGTTTGATGAGTGCCACAAAGCCAAGAATGCCAGCTCCACCAAGATGGGCAAGGCCGTGCTGGACCTGCAGAACAAGCTGCCCCTGGCCAGGGTGGTCTATGCCAGTGCCACAGGTGAGGGGGCAGCTGCCAGGGGCAAGGAGGAAGCCTGATCACGTACACACTCCGTGCTGTCTGGCCTGGTGTAGCCAGAGTGGGGTATCACAGGTGCCATCCATTCATTGACCTCGAAACCTGGCCCAAAGGTGGCACTCACTCTCCCTGGGCCAAAGGTAACTTCCATATCTTTGTGGATGCCAACCCCTATCAGGGACTCCCCTCTGCCAACTGGCTCCAGTTCCTTGGCTGTGGGTGCTTTCTTGGGACCTTCAGGTCCCTGGACCTGGTCCTTGGGGCATTTCCAGTGTCATGTCCCTCATCCCCTTCTCCCCCGCAAACCTTGCTGGATTGGACAAGCTGATGGTAACTACCACCTCCAACTCCCCAGGCGCCTCTGAGCCCCGAAACATGATCTACATGAGCCGCCTGGGCATCTGGGGTGAGGGCACACCCTTCCGGACCTTTGATGACTTTCTGCATGCCATCGAGAAGAGGTGAGTGCCCTCCCTGCCTGTGACAGGGGCCGCTGAGAGGTCCACAAGGGGGCTCATCACATGCAGAGGCCTGGCATCAGTGTGCCCAGTCCACATCCGGGCCCACACCTCCAGCAGCCAAAGTGAACTTAACACACAGATCCTGCCCTTTCTCTGTCTGCACTTTCCATCGTTCTAGGAGGAAGAGCCCCTCCCTGCCTTTCCCGCACCACCACCCACCTCAGCCCTGGGGGGTCAGGCAGATGGGAGCAAAGTCCCTGTGCGCCTGTCCCTTCCTTGTCCTCCAGGGCTCAGCTCCAGGGCTTAGCCCTTCCACAGCTCCATCACTTGATGGGACTCAGCATGTGGTCAGGCAACTTTGTCTCCGTCCACAGGGGCGTGGGTGCCATGGAGATCGTGGCCATGGACATGAAGGTCAGCGGCATGTACATTGCGCGCCAGCTCAGCTTCAGTGGTGTGACTTTTCGAATTGAGGAGATCCCGCTGGACCCGACCTTCGAGCGGGTCTATAACCGTGCAGCCCTACTGGTGAGCAGGTGCCCGGGCTCTCTAACTGCAAGGACACATCATGCCTTTCCTCTTGGAATTACATCCCTGTCACCTTCAGCGTCTGTCTTTAAAAACACTACAGGGATTTGTCAGGTTACAGAAAGGCGGAAGCAGCCAGCCCACCTGCCAAGGTCTTTGGCTGGAGCCTAGCAACTCAGTTCTGTTCAAGGCGGGTTTTTTTTTTTTTTTTTTTAAATATATGTTTTCTTGATTTTTTACATAGAGGAAGAGAGAGGGATAGAGAGTTAGAAACATTAATGAGAGAGAAACATCATCAGCTGTCTCTTGCACACCCCCTACTGGGGATTTGCCAGCAATCAAGGTACATGCCCTTGACTGGAATCGAACCCGGGACCCTCAGTCCGCAGGCCAATGCTCTATCCACTGAGCCAAACTGGTTTCGGCCAAGGCGGGATTCTTATGTGACTGTAGTGATGTGGGCACAGGGCTGGGCCCCACCAACCTCCCCATGATGTCATGAGTACTTTGTCTCTAAGCTGTTTCCAGTGTCCACATCTCTGTACACTGTGGCCTGGCCCTCATCTTCACCACCTTCTCCATGTGCGGTGGGCTCCTGTGTCCTCACTGTCACACCTCCATGAGACAAGCCCTGAGCATTGGCTCTGCCCGTGCTGTATCCTTGCCTCAAACCAAGACAGGGTCTCCCGCTCAGCACTGCTGACAGCACCAGGTCATCCTATGTGGGGTCCATCCTGGGTGCTGAGCAGCATTACTGGCTCCCACCCACCCGATGCCAGGAGACCCCCCCTGCCCCCCGCTCCCAGTCATGACAACTACAGATGCCCAGTGCCCCCTGGGAGCAGGATCGCCCAGGGTGAGGGCCCCTGGTCTAAAGTATCCAGAGTATGGTAATTGCCGAAGGAGTGTCCCTCCCCTTCCTGAAATCACCGATGGCACCACGTGTTTGTTTTTTTAACGTTTCTGCCTGTTCAGGTATTGGCAGAGCCTTTGTGTTGCTCTGTGTACAAGCCTCCCCACCCTGGCCCCACATTCCAGAGGGCGGGGCCGGGGGAATCGGACAGTAGTGAGTTGGGCCGCGTGTGCTGTCGTTGCAGTGGGCCGAGGCCCTGAGCGTGTTCCAGCGGGCAGCCGACTGGATCGGCCTGGAGTCCCGCAAGTCCCTGTGGGGCCAGTTCTGGTCGGCTCACCAGCGCTTCTTCAAGTATCTGTGCGTCGCAGCCAAGGTGCACCGGCTGGTGGAACTGGCCCGGGAGGAACTGGCCCGGGACAAGGTGAGTTGGTGGCAGTGGTAGCTGGGCCTCATGGCTGCACCCCAGATGCTTACACTGGTGCCTGAGGGAGTGAGGTGGTGGAACAGGCACCAATATCCATCTCACAGTCACAGACACGCTCAAATGTAGCTGGACTGAGTCCAGGAAGACAAGGGTGAGCTGAGGTCCAAGAGGTTCTGGTCTTGCCTGACCCCAGCTCCCTGCAGCAGGGGGCCGGAGTGGCCTTGCCCTGGACTCTCCGTGTCCAGAACTGGTGGGTCCCCGGAAGAAATAAGACACAGAGTAATGAGGAGGTCTGGAGAGCTGAGGTCAGATGTTAGCTGCGGTGCAGAGTTCCTTCATGGGTCTGAGTGTGTGAGGCCCTGGCAGCCAACGGGACCCAAAGGGAGGCAGGAAGAAGAAACTGAGGCAGGCTGGGTGTCTGACTTCAGGGGGTTCCAAGCGGGCTCACCCCCACCTCATCCCCCACAGTGCGTGGTCATTGGGCTGCAGTCCACAGGCGAGGCCCGGACGCGGGAGGTGCTGGATGAAAGGGATGGGCAGCTTGACTGCTTCGTCTCAGCCGCCGAGTGAGTGATGCAAGCGGGGCGGGCAGGGTGGCCACACCCAGGGAACCCCTCCCGGGCGCGCTGGGCCTCCCCAGCAGTGACCTGTGGCCTGGCCCTGCCCCAGGACTCCACGTGCTGATCCCTGTCCTCGGGCCTCAGGCGCAGCTTAGTTTTAAAGCCACAAAGGTTAGCTGTGGTGACTTGGGGGTCAGAGGGTCTGGTGGAGGGTCCCAAGATTTCAGAATGAAGCTTCCAGGAGCCAGTCCCCCCACTCCTCAAAATTTAGGGACTGGCCTTCAGGGTCCCCCAAGCCTCTCTTCCCAGCCCTTAGTAAGCATGGGTTCCAGTGTGCGCCCCCCTCATTCTGGCTTATCCCCTGGCCCAGCATTCCCTCCTTTCTCCAGGAGCTCCCAGCCCCACAGACCCAGCCCACCTACCCTCATCTTGGGGGTTATCAGATGTGTGCACCCCCTCGTCCCTCAGAGGTAGTCAGCTCCACCCAGACCACCAGCCCCCCTCCCAGTCGTGGCAAAACTGCCCCTTGAGGCGCCCCGCTGTCCTCTGGACCCAATCGCACTCGGCAGACGGGACAGCATGTTCATCTTCATAGTGAGAATAAACGGCTTCTCCTTTCAGGGGCGTCTTTCTGTCACTAATTCAGAAGCACTTTCCTTCAACCAAAAGAAAGCGAGACAGAGGGGCCAAGAGGAAACGTAAGCACCCACCCTGCCTGCAGCTTTGGCTTGTGGCCCTCCTGCTGCCTCTCTCCAGCCCTTCCTTTCTGAGCATCATCCCAGGTCAGCTGGCCACTCCTACTGCTCCCTCCGCTGCACAGGGTGCCCTCCCCACATCCGCCTGCAAAGGTGGACTAGGAAGAGTGAGATCACAGGCAAACCGCAGGGCGGGCAGTGAGCAGAGTGCCCCGACCGCAGGTTCCCAGGTGGGGGCAGCCTCTAGCCACACTGCCTGCTCATGAGTTGTCACGTCCTGGGCCCCAGCCAGAACCCCACAGGATGGAGAAGCAGGGCTGGGCCGAGGTGACCCTGGCTCCTCCCCTGCAGGGCGGCGGAGGGGCCGCGGGGCCAAGGCGTGCAGGCCAGCATACGAGGCAGCCGGTGTGATCCGAATCAGCGATGACAGCAGTACCGAGTCGGATGCTGGCCTGGACAGTGACTTCCACTCCTCCCCCGAATCCCTGGTGGACGATGACGTGGTCATCGTGGATACCATTGGGCTTCCTGCTGACGACCGCGGTGAGACCTGTGACCCACATTTCCCTTCTTTATATGCGGGGAATAGTGCAGAGAGGGGAAGTCAGCACCCCAACTGGTCAGCAGCAAAGCTGGGTTCATACAGACAGTCTGGGGTTAGGGAGAATGTCTGGGCCCCCACACGACCCTGCACCTGGCTATCCCCAAGGCTGGCGGGGACCCCCCCTTTGAGTAGGCTGAGCCCTGTGAGTGGGGTTGTGGGCAGGTCACCTAGCCAGTCCCTCCTGACTCTGTGGCCCCACAGGCCCTCTGTGCCCCTCACAGCGGGACCCCCACGGCCCCGGCATCCAAGAGCAGGTGGAGCGGCTGAAACAGGACCTGCTAGCCAAGGTGCATGTGCTGGGCCGGGAGCTGCCAGTCAACACCCTGGATAAGATCATAGACCAACTGGGGGGCCCTGAGCACGTGGCGGAGGTGAGCTCTGGGCCCCCCACCCTGACTGAGGTTTTGGTGCCCCCTGGTGGCCACTCCAAGTCCCTGCCAACACTGAGGTTGGGGGCAACTACAGGGTCCAGCATGGGGTGGGGGGCAGAAAGTGCCCATCTCCCACGACACCTTGTGTGCCCCTAGGCCTGTGAGTTCTGGGCGCAGTCCTCGGGCCCCAGGCTGGACCCCCACCTCCAGTTTTCCCTGCATGTCCTCCCTCCCCACCCACACTAACTGTGCTCTTTCCTGGGCTGTGCCTCTGGTGCCTCCTCACATCCTGTAGCCCCAGGTGGTTGGTCTCGGCAGAGACGGTGTGCTGGCCCCTCCCCTCACTCACACCGTTCCTTGCCCCTGCCCTGCACAGATGACGGGTAGGAAGGGCCGTGTGGTGTCCAGGCCTGACGGGACTATTGCCTTCGAGTCTCGGGCAGAGCAGGGCCTCTCCATCGACCACGTGAACCTCAGGGAAAAGGAGCGCTTCATGAAAGGGGAAAAGGTGAGGGGGCATGGGGGCTTGGGGGCAGGGTACCCGTGTGCCAGTGCCCATGGGCAGGGAGGAAAAGCTTAAGAGAGGCCCCGGGCAGGGGAGGCACAGTTTTGAGTCCTAAGGGGCTACCTCTGGACCACTAACCACCCTGTCCCTGTTATGGTTGTGCGCATGTGAGTGTGCATGTGTGCCTGAGTGTGTGTGGGGGGTGCATAGAAGCTGCCTCTCACCCCGTCCTGCCTTCGGTCCTGGTGGAAGCCGCCTGAGGAAACAGGGAAAGTGGGCATCGGTGGGCAGCCATTTCCTCCAGGAGTGACCCAGGGATGGTCCACACTCCATTCTAAGCCCATGTGGCCACCTCCCCAGCCCCCAGATGGAAGGTACCTCAACTTGCTGTGTGGGTCACCCTCAGTACATCAGGGTGACCCAGGGCATAGGTGCGTGGGAGAGTTAAGGGAAGACTGCCACCCATCACGCCAACCTGACCCGTCTGCGACCCCCCCAGCTTGTGGCCATCATCTCAGAGGCCTCCAGTTCTGGAGTCTCCCTCCAAGCTGACCGTCGGGTCCAGAACCAGCGGCGCCGGGTCCACATGACACTGGAGCTGCCCTGGAGTGCAGACCGTGCCATCCAGCAGTTTGGTGAGCCCTGCCCCTGCCCAGGATGCCCAGCCTCTTCCTTTTCCCTGCCCCAGGCCAGCCCTCGCCTTGGTCCTGCCCCGCTGGGGCAGCCCCTGAGAGCCCCTCTGTCTGTCTCCAGGCCGGACCCATCGATCCAACCAGGTCTCTGCACCAGAATACATCTTCCTCATCTCAGAGCTGGCTGGGGAGCGCAGGTTCGCCTCCATCGTTGCCAAGCGCCTAGAGAGCCTGGTGAGTGGTAGGCTGGACCAGAGTGAGCTGGGCGAGAGCTGGTGGGGGGGCTGTTGGGGGAGCTCCCCCAGGAGGGGAGTGAGGAAGGGTGTGACAGCTCCCCCTCCCTGGCAGGGGGCTCTGACGCATGGGGACCGCCGCGCCACTGAGTCCCGAGACCTGAGCAAGTACAACTTTGAGAACAAGGTACCCGGGAGGTTGGTGCTTGGAGAGGAGGGGTTCCTGGGACCTAAGCACCACTCTGACCTGGCCTCTCTGCTCAGTACGGCGCCCGGGCTCTCAGCTGCGTCCTCAGCACCATCCTGAGCCAGATGGAGAACAAGGTGCCCCTGCCCCAGAGCTACCCAGGAGGGGACACTGCCTTCTTCCGGGGTGAGCTGGGGTGTGGCACAGAGGCGGGGGGCACCGGGATTGGTAGACTGAATGTGTGTCCAAATATCCCTTTGACACACACCAAAGGGACACTAGTGGCAGAGGGACCTGGGGCGGGCTAGGGCAAGAGGCACGTGTGAAAGCCCTCCCTTTCTGCAGACATGAAGCAAGGCCTGCTGTCGGTTGGCATCGGTGGGCGGGAGTCCAGGTCCGGCTGCCTGGATGTGGAGAAGGGTGAGTGCCCCGCACTTCCAGGGGCTGGGCAGCGAGTGGGTGGCGTTGACGCGGCGGCCTGAGGTCCTCCTGCCCCCGCAGACTGCTCCATCACCAAGTTCCTCAACCGCATCCTGGGGCTGGAGGTGCACAAGCAGAACGCGCTGTTCCAGTACTTCTCCGACACCTTCGACCACCTCATTGAGGTGGACAAGAAGGAGGGAAAATACGACATGGGCATCCTGGGTGAGTGTCACCAGGGGAGAGGGAAGGGCCTAAAGGAACCGACAGCCAGCACCCCACGCACCAGGCCCTCGCCAAGAACACCAAGGGCCAAGGGAGCCTCGTACCAATAATGCTTCTATTCATAACATTTACAGAGAGCACAGACCCCTGCTTTCCTTAACTGCCCCCAGAACAGCTGTGCAGGGAGGGGTCCTGAGGGGTTCATTGGGCCAGGCTGACTCTGCTGGGGAACCTCTCCCTCTGCGGGGCACCTGAGAACTTGGGGTTGGTGCCCCCCAAAGCCCAGAGCCAGAGCCAGCTGAGCAGCACGAGGCCCCGCCCTCCCGGGGGCGCCGTCTCACCTGGTGTCCTCCCCCCAGACCTGGCCCCAGGCATCGAGGAGATCTACGAGGAGAGCCAGCAGGTGTTCCTGGCCCCCGGACACCCGCAGGACGGGCAGGTCATCTTCTACAAGGTGAGCAGACACCGCCGCCCCTGCCCCCGGCCCGCGCCCCTGCCCCCATCCTTAACACCCACGTGCCTGGCAGATCACTGTGGACCGTGGCCTGAAGTGGGAGGAGGCATACACCAGGTCACTGGAGCTGACAGGCCCCCATGATGGCTTCTATCTCTCCTACAAGGTGGGCAGACCTGGGGGCAGCACCCCAGGCTTGGGGAAAGGGGGACAGTGCTAGAAGCAGGGTACGGCGGGGGTTGGGGGGGGCAGCTTCCAGCCTCATCCCCTCCCCAGCACACCCACCATGGGAACCCCCACCTGGGCCGTGTGCCTGTTTGCCCCCAACCTCACAAGACCCCCCCGCCCAGGCTCGTGGCAACAAACCCAGCTGCCTCCTGGCTGAGCACAACCACAGCAATCTCTTCACCTTGTATAAGCCCAACATCGGCCGGCAGAGTCAGCTGGAGTCCTTCGACAGCCTGTGCCGGAAGTTCCACCGGGTAGGGATGGGGACGGGGGAGGAGGCAGGCAGGAAGGCCCCAGGATGCGCATGTCCCTGGGCTTATGTGTCCCTATTGTGTCCCGCTGTGACCCTTCCCTGCTGGGGCTTCTGCAGCCCCAGGCCTGCCCTCTGTGCGCAGCCCAGCTGGCCACAGGAGGGGGCTGCCAGACTTGAGATGGGCCAGCCTGGGGTGCTCCAAGCTTCATTTTCCCCAGCATTATTGTGAACTAGAAGTGTGGACGGGTCTCTCACGACTGTCCCCCTAGGTGACGGCGGAGGAGGCCAGGGAGCTCTGGGAGAGTAACTACACCCTGTCACTGAAGCACTGCAGCCACACTTCGTGGTGAGGACCCGGGTTGGACTGAGTGGGAGGGGGCACACTGCATTAGACAGTCCTGCCCCATTTTCTCGGGGCAGCTCTGCTAGGGATGGTCCCACACACCACACAGGGGAAGGGGCCCTTTGGGCATGTGGGGCATCCAAGGACCCCCAAGAGTTGGCATTTACAGAAACGAGCTGAGCTAGAATGGGGGAGGAGCCTGCAGGTTATCATGGGTAGGTGTGGAGGGCACTGAGTGTCTGAGCTGCCCTGCCTGCCTGCCACACAGGAACCGGCAATGCCGGCTGGTGCAGGAAGGCAGGGACTGTGTGCAGGGCCTGAGGCTGCGGCACCACTACATGCTGTGCGGGGCACTGTTGCGCGTGTGGGGCCGCATCGCTGCTGTCATGGCTGATGTCACCAGCAGCAGCTACCTGCAGATTGTTCGCCTCAAGACCAAGGACAAGAAGAAGCAAGTTGGTGAGTGAGTGGGCGAGCCAGTGGAAAAGGGGATTATGGGGATTGGTGGTCTCTGCACCAGAGGCCTGACCTGCCGTCCCCATACGCCCTGCAGGCATCAAGATCCCAGAGGGCTGTGTGCCCCGTGTGCTTCAGGAGCTGCAACACATGGACGCAGACGTGAAGCGCAAGAAAGCGCATGGCCAGGGCTTCCCTGTGCCGTCACCCGCCCTGTGCCCACTGGCACTGCCCTGTGGTCCTGGAGAGGTCCTGGACCTCACGTACAGCCCACCAGCCCAGGTCTTCCCACCACCCTCGCCCTTCGCCTTTCCACTGCCCCAGGACCCTGCGCCCACTCTGCTCCTGGGTACCCCGGATGCTCCAGCTGACCCTGCTACCCTCGTGCACGAGGGCTGCGACATCAACTTCAAGGAGGTGCTAGAGGACATGCTGCGTTCTCTCAATGCTGTGCCGCCCCCAGAGCCCCCTGGCCCCCTGGGAGGCGGTGCAGGGGTGCCAGGGGGTGTGGGGGGGCCCGAGCGGCAAAGCGTCATCCAGTTCAGCCCCCCCTTTCCCAATTCCTAGGCCTGAGCTGTGCCCCAGCCAGGTGTTCTTCCTGGATGAAACTTCTCTGTAATACACCACATCTACACAGATACGGTCTAGTACCAAAGTGGGTGGTGAGCAGGGCTCCGGTCCTGCCAACTACTGAAAGGAAGGGGGGCTCGGGTGCCCCTCATCCAGCTAAACAAGGCCTCCACTGCAGTGCCTTCCTGGTCGGTGCCTGGGCAGATCCGAGATGCTGCCACCCTGCCCAATGCGGCAGCAGGTGTGTATGTCCCACTCAGGGCTCGGGCAGGGCCTGGGGGTGGAGCTGCCCTCTATGTGCCTCTCCCATCCTGCCCTCCAGGCCTGGGTGGGGCTCCCCTCCCCAGCCCCCCTTTTCAGGCCTAGTAACGCCGGAACCCCTGAAATACACAAAACTGGGTGGCCCCTAAGAGCTGGAAACTCAGGAAACCCCCAGTTCTCAGGGCCTTGTCTCTGGGAGGTTGTGGGAGGCAGACCCCCCATTAATATATGCAATTCCCCCCCTACCTGCTCTCTGCTCCCTAAATTATTGCCCAGTGCCTCTGCCAGACCTCAGAATCTTTCTGGGAGCTGGAGGGGTGGGCAGCCCCTCGTTTCTATGTGTATTTATAATTCAGTGTATATATGTAAAAATATCTTTTTTAAAATATATGTGCCTTTTCACTACTTCCTAGGCTGTCTGCTCCTCTGGCCCACAGGGTGGTAAGGAGGGAAGGTGGGGGTCGGGGGGGGGGGGGTGCCTGGTCCCACTTTGGGCAATGAGTTCAGGGATGGCTACCATCTGCGAGGCAGAGTTTGTGTGGAACTGGACTGTTCTTTGCCCAGACACTCCCCACTGGGTCATTGCTTTCAGTCACAAGGGCTCATCCCACTCACTGGCCTTGTGGATGACAAGCCAGGCAGGAGAAATACACCCACGCACCAGGGCCGCTGCCCACTGTGGTCCGGCGCCAGCGCAAGTCAGCTGCCTTTGGACCAGCTGAGCCAGGCTCGTGATGTCTCGGACCAGACACTGCCTCCTGCCCACTAGAGATGAAGCCCACTGGGACCCTCATAGTGGCGATACCAGTTCCCAAGGCTTTGGCCCTTTCCCCCAGGGTTTCCTTCCAGCAGGCAGGGCAGCCCAGAGACACGAGGCCTCAGGAGCTGGGACTGGTCTTGAAGGCAGGAATGGATGCCAGGCCCCTCCTTGGAGCTGTGGGGAGCACATCAAGCTTCTGGTCCAGGGGCAGGGGACTGCCCCCAGCCAAGAAGCTGACAAGGGGCAGAAAGCACCTCCTTCTGCAGGTCCCCACCTACTGCAGGCCTTCCGAAGCTATCGGAAGATGGGGGCCCAGTCACTGTCCAGCAATACTACTCCACACCAGCTGGCCTCAAATTATTCCCCATTTTAGCGAGGACGACTGTGGACTACTCCCAGATTACACCAAATGAGGACCATGAGCAGACTTGGGTGCCCTGGTTCAGGGTCCATACAACGAGGCCAGACTGTTGAGCAGGCCCTGCCCAGCGTGACTCTGAGCCAGGAGTAACTTGGCGGATGTTGTGCTCCAGGTGCCTGCCTCCCGCACCCCCCCACCTTGGCCCACTTGAGAAGACCACTGCCCTGGGCAGGCCTTAAGAGAGACCTCAGACATGGCTCTGGGCCAGGACTAGCACCAGTTAAGAATTATCAGCTCTGCCAGTGCCTAAGGGTGGGGCTGTCAAGATTAGAAGCAGGGCTGCAGGGTGAATGCAGTCATCCGAACCTCAAGGGAACTCCACCCCATGACCTCCCAGGGAGACAGAAGCACCAAGCCAGCCAATTTGTATGTTTTATTCCCACAAGGCAGCCAGGGGTGGAGTGCGGAGCTGCGAGCCAGGCCGGGCCCAGGGGCCTTCCTCCGGCAGAGGTGCACGCCGGGTTCTCGGGTCTGCCCCACCAGCAGGCTGGTTTTTAGACAGACTGTCATGAGTGCCGGGTGGAAGGCTCGGGGCGCAGGCGGTGGGCTCAGATGTGGGGGTGCACACTTGTGGAGCTAAAGGTAGCAGGGCAGGTCCTTCTCTATGACCTGTGGGAGAGGCAGGGTCAGAACATCTCTTCCCAAGGCACCACTCCCAGCAGGCTCCCTGGAAAGGCACCTACCTGGGGCTCTTCCATGGGACCATACCGCTTCACCACACAACCGTTCTTGTCAATGAGGAACTGCCGAGACACGGGGTTTTAGCAGAGGAGGCCCCCGTGGGGCCCCTGCCAGAGGGCTGGGGGCAAGCCAGCAGCCCCCACCTGCTGCCCCATTAGGGTCAGGCTTAAGGCCTCTTGGGATAGGGATAGTCCTGGCCTATTCTGTCCCCCAAAACCCTTCCTTACCTTGGTGAAGTTCCATTTGATGGCACTAAAAAAAAGCAAGAAGTCATGAGGAAACCCCATGGAAACTGCAGCCTCCCCTCCTCAGCCCCTGGGGAACCATCCTGCCCTGCCCTCTCCTCCCCCCACTTACTTTCCCAGGATGCCCCTCCCCTTGGGCTGGGCTTTCATCCACTTCCACAGAGGGTGGGCATCATCTCCGTTCACACAGATCTTGCTATACATATCGAATTTGACATTATAGCCAGCAGCGAACTCTTTGATCTCTGCATTAGTCCCTGGCTCCTGTGGCAAGTAAAGAAAGGTACCCGGGTCAGTGTGTGTGTGTGGGGGGGGGGGGGGGGGGCGGGGAAGGGGAGAGGGGGAGCGTGTATCCCATTTTAGTCCTCCCTTCCACGGGCAGACCTTCTCCCCACGCACCTGCCTCCCGAACTGGTTGCAAGGGAAAGCCAGGATCCGTAAACCGCACTCAGCATATCGGGCGTGCAGGTCGACAAGCTGAGTGTAGTTTACGTCTGTTTTGCCTCATTGTGAGGCCACGTTGGTGACGATGCACACGAAGCCCCTGGAGGTGGGATGGGGTGGTCAGAGTTGGTGACCTTCCCTCTGCCTCCCCCACCAGGCAGGTAGGTACCCACCGGTACTTGTCCAGGTTAACCGTGCGCCCGTCGATGTCCTTGGCTGAGAAATCGTGCATTGACTGAGCACAGCGCCAGTCATCACGGGAGGCGCACTGCAAGACACAGACCCGGGAGCAGCTGAGCGGCTGGGGCACCTCGAGGCCCGAAGGCCCCGGCCAACTCGTCCAACCAGGTCCCCACCAGGTCCCCACCGCAGGAGATCCCAGGTGGATCCCTGCTGACACTGGACCCTGGGGCAAGAAAAAGGCAAGAGCTCCTCCTCCTCAAAGGTGCAGGCAACCTGCGCGCGCAGGGCACATTTAACTGCAGACTCCAGGGCGCAGGGAGGGTTGGGGATCGCACCAAGTGCCCCAGCGGGCAGGGGACACCACCACCTTGTGTGGGGGGGCCCCCCGCGCGCACCGGATCTGGATACAGGTCACAACTGCTACTCTTCCAGGAACGGGGCTCCTTCTGCCGGGGGCGCGTCCTCCTGCGATCGCAAGCTGGAGCCTTCCGACGCCCGAGGGCGCGCCGCCGCCGCCGCCGTCTTTGCCGCCGCCTGCTCGGCAACCGGCGCCGCTGCCTGCAGCGACCCCGGGAGCCGGCGGCTGCGCGGCCCATGCCAGCCCTTCGGACGCTCCTGTGCCCACCAAGTGCGGCATCCGGGGACAAAGGGCCGGTAGCTAGGACTCCGGCCGCCCCTCTGTGACGCCACCGCGCAGTGTCCCGGGGCGTACAGGGAGGGGGAGGGGCGGTGTCGCCCCGAGGCGCGTGACCCCGGATTAACCAGCCAAGGGGGCTCCCCCACTCTCCGGGCCCCAGCCTGGGGCCAGTGGCCTAGAGGCCCCCCGCTGTCTCGACGCAGCGGCCCGAAGGCCCCGACCGCTCAGCCCTTCACATCTGGCCAAGACCCCCAGCCATGACCCTGCCTGTACCCTAGCCCGCGCGCTACCCACGGTCCCCACGGCCGCCCGCCTGCGCCCCGCCAGCGAGCTCCCACCCAAGGTCGCCGTGGCCCTGCGCGCCACGGTGGAGGCCGCGCGCCCGCCCTAACGGCCCGCCGGCCCGGCCGCCGGCACCGCACTCACCATGGTGCTGGCCACGCCGGGCACGGCAAGAGCACCACACAGAAGTGCTGGCTTCAGCAGGCGGCACAGGCGGCTGAAGCTCATCTCTGCGGCGGCGGGGGCACCCCGGAGGCAGCAGCTCCTCCCCTCGCCGAGCCGACCAATGGACGCGCGCCGGCGCGCCTGCCCTCCCATCCTGCAGCCACGCCCACCGGCGCCCTCATTGGTCAGCTGTGACGCGTGACAGCGACAGCCATTGGGAGGCTGGGGTGAGGGGTGTGTGGGGGCGGGGCCTGAACGGGCTGCGGTTTTGGTGTTGTCTATGACTGCGCATGTCGCTGGCGGGTGGGCGGCCGCCTCCACGCCAGCGGCTCGTTGGTGGCCCGTTGACAGTTACCGGGTAGTTGGCCACGGCGCCGCGGGGTGCCACACAACCTGAGAAACTACTGGAAACCCGAAGGGAGGGGTCTTGAACTTGCAGAAAAATCGCTCCAGCTCATTGAAAACTGGAGTTTTGATTTTAATGTCAATAAAACCAAACTGGGGACTGCGCGAGGCCCCTCGGCTCCATCCGGGCTTCCAGGAGGGCCTGGGGTCACCTAGAGGCGGGTGTCCCCGGCCAGAGTCGCCCACTGCCGCAGTGTCCGCCAGCGGGGGGGCGGGGAGAGCTTCACGGTCCTTTAGCCACTTATCTAGGTCACACCTGAGCCCTGGCGGGGGTGGGAGGGTAGGCGGAGTCATTAAAACGGGCTCCGTGGGATCCCCCCACCCCCAGGGAGAACAGGTGGGGATGCCCAGGTGTGTGCTTACAAGGAAAACAACCCCCGAGCGAAGTCTCCACTTCTACTTTACAGGCGGTGTGTACACAGCACTGGAGGGCCCCACCTCTGGGCTCAGGCACTTGGCCCCAAGGCCAGAGAAAATGACCCACCTCATTCTTGGGACCTGAGTCAGGGAATTCCACAGCAGGCCTGGCTGCCCCCATCCCCCAGCCATGACTGGAGCTTGACCCTGGGACTGCAGAGTGGTTGCAGCATTTTTGTGTTTTGTCAACTTCTTATCCCTTTTTGGACCCTCCCCTGAACATTTCTGCAGAACCCGGAGGGGGGGCGGGAAGGACTCTAGGGGCTGGGTTCATTTGGGAGAACCACTGAGCCCCCTCCCTCTGCCCCTGACCCAGGCCTGTCAGAGGGCAGAGCAGGGAGCTTATCGGTGGAGTTGTGTGGTAAAGGCAGTACAGGAAGAATGTCCCCCTGCCCGGTTGCTCCATGCCCCTTCTTACAC